GCGGACCAAAGGAGAATCCAGGGCCCCGGCGGGAAGGCAGCCGAGCCCCGCCGGCCACCCCAACACCGGACCAAAGGTCCAGGCACCCCGCCAGCCCGCGGCCGTGGTGGACCCTGTCTCCATAGACACCCTTGAGTCTCACAGCCCGAAGCCCATCTCCGGTGCCCGCGACAAGCGTGGTGACCTCTGAAGACCATTTTTAGAAATATTTTTTATTTTTCATAAATAGAGCAACTGCCCTAACTCTGTGCTTGGCTTTGGGGGGGTCCCACGAGCCTCCCCCGCAGCAGGGAGGGGCCGCCTCCGGGCCTCCGTCCGGCCCCCGAGCTTCTCGCGGGCGGATCCAGGCCGCGGCCCCGGCGCGTCCCGGGCAGGGCGCGGGGCTTCGCCACCGCCAGGCTTGTCGGGCTCCGCCTGCCCCGGCGCGTCCGCGGCGCGGGAGGCGACCATCGCGCGGCGAGGCAGCGGGCCCGTCCTCGCGGCCCGCGGGGCGTCCTGACGGCCCGCGCTGCCCCCATCTCGGGGTGCGGCTCTGCCCGCGGGAGGCCGCGGCAAGTCCCGGCGTGGGGGGCGCGGGAGGCCGCGGGGCCGGCGGCGGCGGAGACGGGCAGGGACGCCGGGAGGGCCGAGGGGCGGCCGCGCCCGGGAGGCCCGGAGGGAACCGGAGAGGCGCGGGGGCGGCGGAGAGAGCCCGGCCCCAGCGGGCGACGGGGCCCCGCGCGGGGGCAGCGGTCCCCGCGCCCCAGACCAGCCCCGACGGGCCCTCGCCCCGCCCCCGCCCGGCCCGGCGTCCCGGCGCCTCCCGGTCACCGGCTCCCCGCGGCGTCCGCGGTTCCCCGCCGGCTCGGGGCTGACCGGCCGCCTCGGGCAGGACGTCCGACGGCGCCCGGTGCGCGCGGGGAGAGGCCGCGGCCCACGGGCTCCCTCGGGCGGGGGACCCGCCGGAAGGACGCGGGCTCGGGTCTCTGGGGCCCGGACCCCGCCACCGGCGCCCGCGTCCCCCCCGCCCCGCGCGGGTCTCCGAGGGCCCGGCGGGCCGCCCTTCCCGGGGGCCTAACGCTGCGGGGGCTTCGCCGGCTCCCGGACAGGCCCGCGGGACGCGGAGACGCGGAAGCCCCGGCGAGACCACGCGCGACGCCCGCCCCCGCCCCCCGCCCCGCGCCAGGGCGGCGAGTCCCGCGAGACCCGCACGCCGGACCCCAAGGCCCCCGCGCCGCCGTCTTGGCCGGCCCCGCGCCCCCGGGAGCCCGTCCCCCGAGATGGCGGCCGGGGCGCTGCCACACCCAGGCCTGCGGCCGCGCCCCGCGAAACTGCCCACCCGAGCGCAGCCGGGCACGTGACAGTGGGTGACCACGTGGCACCTGCGGGGGGGGGCGTACACATGACGGGTCACGTGGCCACCCTCGCCTCCCCCCACCCTCCACCAAGGAGCCCCGAAAGCCCCGAAACCAACACGCGGGGCTACGGCAACGCGACTCCCCCGCAACAGGGGCCGAGGGGCGGAGCCGAACGAAGGCCAGTGGCCAACAGGACAGGCCGCGCCGGGGCCACGCCCGCGCCCTCGCGGACAAGACCCGCCGCGCCCGCCTCAGGGACGGTCCCCGCCCGCCACCAGGAGCCGGCACAGCGCCGGCCAGCAGTGGCCGCTCCGGCCCAGGGGAGGCGCCGGACACCCGCGCTCCGCAGCTCGGGGTGCGCGGCCGGGCAGCGCCAACAACAAGCAGCCCTTTGGGACGCTTCCAAGCACCTTCAGCCACAAGACGGAGGCCCGAGGCCGCACCCCGCACATGTCCTCCGCTTCCGCCTTGGGGAGCAGCTGCCGGACCCGCTTTTCCCGTCTCTTGCGAGGCGAAAACGGCCCCGCCCCGTCCTTCTTCCCGCCGAGGCTGGAACCACGGCAGAGTCACGCATCCCCCCCCCCTCGCGCCCCCCCGCGCCCCCCCCGCGCCCGCCCACGCTGGCTTATATCCGCCTTCAGGGGCCCCGCCCGCAAGTCTGATTGGACCATTTTTCAACCCTGGGGCTGATTGGACCATTTACCCATCAGCCCATAGCACCTGATTGGTCCAGTCCACAGTCCAGGAAGTGCGCTTTACCTCAAGGGCGCTGAGGCAGCTGCCACCCCTGACTTGTGGGGAGAGGCGGCTCCAGGTAGCAAAGTCTGATTGGACCATTTAGCACCAATCGGCTCAGAGCTCGCACCTGATTGGTCCATTCCACGATCCAGGAAGCACGCTGTGACCTCCCAGCGGCTGTTTCCCCACACGTGTCCAGACACGTGTCCACGCGGTCCAGGCCGCTGCCGCACGGCGGGGCGGCGGGGGGGCCGGGGGGGACGGTCTGCCCGCGCCGCAGCGTCTCCCGGCGGGCGTCCTCGCCACGCGCCCCTGACGCCCGCCCAGTGTCCCCGCAGCCTCGGGATTCGGGCGGCTCGGGACGAAGCCCGCTCGGGGCGAGGTCGCCGTCCGCGGGCACGCGGGCCCCAGAGCCCGTGGCCAGCGCCAGCCCGCCGGGCCTCCGCGCCGCCTTCCTCCAGGCGGAGGGCCCGGGCGGGCGGGCGGGAGCCGGGGCGCGGGAGGCCGCCCGCCCAACGCCGCCGGAGAGGCCCGTCCGCCCCGCACGCCCGCCCGCGCGGTGCCCGCGGCGCTGGGGCTCCAGCTCTCCAGGCTTCCCGGGACACCGGCTCCGCCCGCGCCCGCCCGAACGGCCCCGCCGCCAAGCCGGGACGGCGCCTCCCCGGGCGGGACCGGCGTCTGCGGGGCGCCGAGGCCCCGCGCCTGCAGGGATCCTCCGCGGGGGCGTCCCGGGCCCCGCGACCCCCCCCCCCCGTGGGCCCGGATGGCCCCCGGGGCCCCGCCCGCCTCCGCGGGGCTCCGGAAGGGCAGGGCCGCGTCCCGCGACACTCGCCCCGGCGCCCTCGGCCTCGCGACCCGCCCCGCGCCGCCCCCGGGACTCGGGAGATGAGCGCGCAGCAGAGGAAATGGCGGCCCCGCGCACATGGTGAGCGGGAGACGTGCTGAGGCAGTTCCGCGTGGAAAAGCAGAATGCGCAGCAGAAAGTGAGGTTCGGTTCCGTGACGGACCCAGGGCAGAGAGCGGGGTCTCCGGCACCTTCAGGACCCCGGGCCCGGCGCCTCTCGCCTCCCGAGCACTCCCGGCGCGTGGCGGCGGCGCTGGGCAAAGTGGGGGAGAAACGCTCAGAGCTTGCGGGGCCAGAGCCTGCCCTGCTGTGCGCCCCTCTCACCGCCGCTGACACCCGGGCCGGCGCCCTGGGCCACCACGTGGGCGCTTTGTGCTTGTTGCTCTACCAGCTTCCAGCCCACGAGAAGTGGGTGACCCTGGCGGGAACGGGCAATGTCACCTCCAAGATCTCCTCCGGAGACAACGGTCACTGCTAGGAAGTGCAGTTCTCAGCCGCTCTGCTCCCGCCGTCCGCCCAACGCCCTCCACTTGCGCGCCCACAGACCCGGCTGTTCCAGCCCGCGTACCCCCGGTTCATTAACCCGACGCCACGCGCCGTCCCTCCATGCACCTGCTTTCCTCCGTGACGCTCTTCCCGCCCGTGCCTCCACCAGCTCTCCCTTCCTCCAGCCAGGCCTCATCTTTCCACTTCTCACCCCCCGACCACCGTCCGTAGATCCCCATCACCCTCGACACAACCTTCGGGTTTCTTCTGCTCCTCTTCCTCTCCACGTCCCCTTGTCTCTCATCTTTACAATGTCCCACTTATCCATCCATCTTTTCCTCTCTCACCCTCTTTTTCCCTTTTTATATCCCATTAATGCACATATTATGACCATGTTTGGGGCCTTCTTCACCCCCAGTTGCAGAGGGTGTCCTGGGGGTGTAAAGCAAATCTTCCCACAGAGATCCTTGGTAATGCACACTCACACTATAACACAAGCCCTGCCTACCTCCATCCCTCTACACACAAAGATCAAGAGCACCATGAAAGGTAACTATGGCACTAAAAAGACAGTAGAGATTCATGTGTGTATCTGTTATTCTCTTAAGTGATTTTTAAAACTTACTGTATAAAGGAACAGGCAAAGGGACATACAAAAATGAAATGCGGAAACAAAGGAAATGGGAGGGAGCAATGCTTCCAGACGTTAACTCAAATTCATAAGAATAAATACAAATATTCATATGAAGAATAAGAAGACTAAAATAGTAAGAGCTAAATATATTTTCCCCCATCCTTTCTAAACTTCACTAAAAGATATAAAATTATGTTAATAATTATATGTTCTTGCTTTTTTGACACATATAGATGTGAGATATATAGATAGATAGATATAAAAATCATACATAGGGCCTCCCCAGAGGCACAGCGGTTGAGCGCTGGGCTGTGAAGCTGCCCACAGCCTCTGCAGTGATGGCTCGATCCCTGGCCTCCAGGAGTCCCACATGGCGCACAGACCTCCCTGCCACTCGCTGCTCCCCTTAGCAGTGTACTTCAGTCCTGCCTGTTCTGCTCCCCACTCTGGCTCCGGTGAATTCTCTCACCCTCCCGCGCTTCTGACTGTACCCAGTGCTTGTATAAACAAACAAACAAATAAATAAAAATCTTAAAAAAAATTTTAAAAATAAAAATAAAAATCAAGATCCAATGATATGCTGTCTTCAAGACACACATAAATCAAACATATAGATTGAAATAAAATGATGGAAAATGCAAACTATGTAAAGAGCAACCAAAGAAAGCAGGAGTAACTATACAAACAGCAGACAAAGTTGACTTTAAAACAAGTATTATCAATAGATATATACAGGAACACTTTATAACACTAAAAGTGTCAAAACACCAGCAAAATATATCAACTCCAAACATACATGCAACCAATAACTGACAGCAAAATACAGAAAGCAAACATTGACAAGGGAAAACAAAAAATTCAATAACAATCATTGCAAATCAGTGTCTCACATTAAATAATGGATATAACAACTAAACAAAGGAAAAACAATATTTTTATTATTTTACAAAAATTGCTTGAATGTTATTAGTCTCAGGTTAGGGGCTTTTCCCAATCAAGACAAAACACCTATGAAGCTCATAGCTTGGGTGACCAAACCTAGGGCCTGTCCTGGGTGCATGAGCACAAACCCGCCTCAGATCCAGTTGAGGCTTCCTGGGTGTCCAGGTGTCCTGGCTCAGCTAGCATGGCCAGTGCCTATGCTTATGCTAACTGAGAGGGGCTGGCTGGTCTCACATCTACAAGACTGGTCTCAGGGAGACCCAGGGGGTTGGGGGGGAAAGCCAACTGGAAGAAGGGCTTGCACGTGGTGTTAGCATCTGCAGAGGTTAAGGAGTCTCCTCAGGGCCTGCTTGACCTCAGCGTTTCTCAGAGAGTAGATGAGGGGGTTCAAGGCGGGGCCGAGCATAGTGTACAGTATTCCAAACAATTTGTTTCTCTCAGGACTGTAGCTGGACCCCGGGTTGATATAGGCACAGAACACAGCTGAGTAGTAGAAAGTGACCACCAGCAGATGGGAGGAGCAAGTAGAAAACGCTCGACGCTTGCCCTCAGCCGAGCGGATGCGCAGGATGCTGGCGATGATGCAGCCGTAGGACCCCAGCGTGAGCAGGAAGTTGATGACCCCGTAGAAGGCATCAGCCAAAATCGTCATGATGCTGTTGATGAGGGTGGAGCTGCAGGAGAGCAGTAGCAGGGAGGGGATCTCACAGAAGAAGTGCGAGATGATGTTGAGACCACAGAAGGTGAGACGCGCCATCAACCCGGTGTGCACCGAAGCATTGACGGCACAGATGGCCCAGACGGCTGCAGCCAGCACCCCACACAGCTGTGGGCTCATGATGGAGCTGTAGTGCAGCGGGTGGCAGATGGCCACGTAGCGGTCATAGGCCATGACTGTGAGCAGCAGCAGCTCTCCGGACAGGGACCAGAGGAGGAAGAAGAGCTGGGCCATGCACCCCTGGAAGGAGATGGTGTTCTCCGTCTCCGACACCAGGCCCACCAGCGTCTTGGGCACCACGGACGAGGTGCAGATGACGTCCATGGAGGCCAGGTTGAACAGGAAGAAGTACATGGGGCTGCGCAGGCTGGCGCTGCAGCTGATCAGCACAAGGATGACGGCGTTGCCCGCCAGCGCCAGGCCATACAGGGCCAGGAAGCAGCCCAGCAGGGGCAGCCGCAGCTCAGGGTGCTCGGAGAAGCCCTGAAGGACGAACACCTCCACCTGCGTCCAGTTGTGCGCTGCAGCCCTGCCGGAAGCGGCCCCCAGGCCTGACTTCATGGCGCCCTCTGGAGAGACACACAGTGAGCCTGGGCTCAGGGTAGGAGCCATAGGACCCTCACCCATACACACCAGGAACCGTGCCCCCTGCAGCTGCTCCAGGATCTACCTAGACCACCCTGTGCCCTGTGCCCTGGGACGTCTGCTCAGGCATCGTTGCCCGGTCGTGCAGGCTCCAGCTGCCCTCCTACTCTGTGCCGGGCTTCCCTGGCCGCAGCCACCAGGGCCCTGCTCCCTGCTCCAGGTGAGAAGCAGTCTGCCCCCTGGGCCCTCCAGCCATCGCTGTGGGGCCCTCCATGCCCTCCACGGGCTGAGCATGTCCCTGCTCCTGAGGGTCATGTCGCCCTGGGCTCGCCCCCGCTCCAAGTGCACACACCTGTCTCTAGCTTCAGAGCTGTCCCCAGACCCCGCCCCAACCCTCACAGAGCCCCAAGTGCTCAACACTGGACAGAAATGGTGGCCGCACCCCCAAGGTAGCTGTGATACACCCTGCAGGCCCCACCCTGCCCGATGCCCAAGCAGCGTGAGGGAGCAGGAGCTGGCCTTGCTCCCTCAGTCTAACACCCCTTGGCTCCCTCCGTCCTGGCTCTGCGGATCTGCTGCTGGGTGCCGAGACTGACTCTGCTGTCGTCTCCATCACCTCCATGGGTCCTCAGGGCCGGCTGAGGTCCCAACCCCACTGTCTGCTCCCCCGGCCCTCGGCCACCTCTGCATGCCACAGAGGCCCCAGTAACCCCACAGCAGAATCTGGCTCTGGCCACCTCCCGCCGGACACTCTCAGACACTCCCGGGACGTGTGTGCCGGTGGATGAGCGCCTGACTGTGTGCAAGGGGTCTGGATGCCCCTCCACCCCCAAGGACACCAACAGGGGCAGAGCCAGACTCAGGAAGGACAGGGTAGGGCTCCACTTGACGATGCAGCCACACGATGGCCTCGCCCCGGACAACTGGAGTCAGAATCCGCAGGGGGTGGGTGGGGGCCACCCTTGGTGTTCCCGGGGAGCTCACCCACCCACACACACACTCTCACACACACACAGGGAGGGGGCCCAGGACCCACGGGGCAGACAGGATGAAGCAACGGGCCTGGGATCAGGCAGAGGGAGGCCCCGGGCTGGGCGGCCACCGCCTTGTGAGGGGAGCCGGCAGGGGCAGCTCTTCCCTGAGGAAGAGACAAGAACGTCAGCGACAACGATGTGTCCACGGCACAGAGTGTTGGAGGCTGCAGGGACAGCGGGAGCCGCCCCGGTCTACACTGCGTGACCGGGCTCGGGAGCCCGAGGGACAACAGCCCCGGGAGCGCGAGCGTCTGAGCGAGCGAAGGGCCCGCGGTCTCCACCGGGACGGAGCTGGGTTTCTCACACGGGACACAGAAGCCGAAGAACAACAGCTCGAGCTCAGGGACAACGGGGCGGCGTGGGGTGAAGACAGCCTCCGGGACGCCGTCAGACGCGGGGCCCCGGGGCCCCTGGCAAGGCCGGCAGGGACTGCCCAGTCCTCAGTCACAAGAGGAGACCGTGGACAGCCGGACACAACTGGGGGGGACAGAGACAGACCCTCCAGCAAGGCCCAGGGGCTGCGGGCGAGGCCGGCAGGGTGGGGAGAGCGAGACTCCGCGGGGGTGGAGGTGCTGCAGGGGGAGGGGAGCCTGGGGTCCTGCAGGGAGAGGGGGAACGTGGGGGTCCTGCAGGGACGGGGAGCTCTTTTGGCCAGGCTGGATGGGCAGCAGGGTCATGGAGGAAGGGGTCAGCGGGAAGGCGGCCTGGACAGGGGCTGCCAACACTCCGTGCCCACCTGGTCTGGTCCCGGGTGACCCACCTGCAGATCCTGCCTGTTCCCGTGTGATGTTTCCCGCAGGCACCTGGGAGTCAGGACGGCCCTTCTGAAAACAGAAACACACTAAGGCAGAGGTCCTGGCCAGTGTCCGGGGCCTGCTCCCCGCTGACCCCGAGGGACTGATGGGCCTCCTCCCCGTGTAGGCGACTCAGTTGGCAGAGCCACCCCGGCCCTGAGGGAGCTGGTGCTGGGCAGGGTCTGGGCACTCGGTGGCCCTGTCGAGTGTGGGGAGGACACTGGGGTCTGGATGGGGGTACCTGACACAGTCTCTGGAGAGGCCGGACACTTTCCAGGCTGGTGCCCTTGTGAGGGCAGCTCCCACACTCTGGCCTGTCTGGGGCCGCGTCCTGTCACAAGGAGGTGGCCGGCAGCCATGCGGCCCGGGTGGACACCTGGTGTGGGCTCGACTCACTCTGGCCCCTGCCCCGGCTTTCCTCACTGCCCTCACTCTCCTGCTTCTCTCTGCTCCTGTCTCCTGGATGACCCCCCCCCCAAGGCCCAACGTCCACAAGGCTGCATTCTGAGCCGGCTAGCAGGGCTGCTCGCTCCCTCCCTGCCCGCTGAGTCTGAGATTCCTGCTGAGACGCTGATTCCCTCTGAAGCGGGACTCTGCTCCCGAACACCGAGGGCAGCACAGTTGTGGTCACTCACCTCTGCTGGGCCTGACCGGCCGTGCTGTGGCTTCGTCTTGTGGCCTCTCCGTGTCCACTGCACTCTGGCGCGAGCTCCGCTGCTCATGAAACCTCAGAGTCTCCAAGGCGGGGGCCAGGAGCCGGGGCGGGCCCTGGGGAGGCCGCCGGAGGAGGCTCGCAGGGACCATTAGTGCGGCTTGAGGCTCATGACCACAGCCTCCCGCCCATCAGCGTCAGGAGACCAGACGCCAGGGCTGCGGGCCAGCCGGGCCCCCTCCGCCGTCCCCGGGGCGCTCGTCTCCCTGCCGGGCCGGTGGGCGCTGCTCTGCTCACGCCCATGCCCAGGCTCTGCCCTCCCAGTGACCGACATGCCCGGATGCACATGTCCCCGTCTCTGCGCGCTGAGGGGCGACGCCCAAGTGGGGAGGACCCAGAAATGGCTGCGGTGTCTTCGGCTGCGCTGGGCCTCGCGTTTGGCTCTACTTCAGGAACTCGGTAGAGGATCCCACAGGGTTTCTCCTGCGGGCTCCACCCCAAATTCCACAGTCACTTCCCAAGGCGCTCGTTCTGACCCTTCTCAAGACCTTTCTGAAACGGGAAGAACGCAAGGACAAAGGGCAGCCAAAGCCTAAAAAGGCCAGAAGTCAAACCAAGGGCTATGTGGTAAGAACAGAGCAGGGCCTGCAACCCATGGGGGACAGGCCGGTGTGTGGGTCTCCCCGCGCTCACGCCTGCGAGAGGCCTCGGGCCGGGCACACCACCACGGCCGCTTGGCAGCCCGGGGAGACATGGGGCGGCCGCCCGACCCAGACGGCCCCCTGTCAGCAGGGCCGGGCAGCGCTGGCCAGTGGCGATGGTCACCACTGGCCCCCAAAGGCAGCGTCAGGACACCCCTGTTAGCGGGGGGGGAGGCTGGACAACCCCGACAACAAGCGGCTCCTTGACACGGCCGGCCCGAGGCCTCCGAGGCCCCTTTCAGGCGAAGGAGAGACGGACCGAGGCCCCGTCTCCGCAAAGGCCTGGGCCCCCCGGGGCCGGCGCCGGGCCCCCGGGTTTGAGGGCTGGACCTCCCTCCCCCCAAGCCACGTGGCCCTGCCTTAAAGCCTCTGTCAAGGCGCCCCAGCCACACCTCTGACTGGGCCATTTAGCACTGATCAGCTCCTCACTCAGCCTGGCTGGGCCGGGCCGGACCCGCGCCAGGTATGAAGGGAGGTTGCTGGGCGGGAGGATCCGCGGCCAGAGCTGCCTGTGGTGGAGCAGGAGAGGCCACTCTGCTGCCCTCTGCCATTCAGCTGTCAGTCATGAGGTGGGTCGGGATGTGGTCACCAATGGTCAGTCAGGTGGTGGGTTGGAGTGTGGTCACGATGGCTTGGTGGGTCATCGGCACAGTGCAGGGGAGAGTGCGGAGGTTGGGCCCCAAAGGGGCCGGGCGGGGGGCTGCCTGCAAGTGTAGCATGGCTGGTTGGTCACTGGGGAGCAGGCCTGCCCCCAGGGAACCATGTGGGCAGAGGCTGTGGCTGAGAACACTGGGGCCTGCTCAGGCCGTGGCGAGGGGGCAGGGTCCAAAGCCAGCCCCAGGCCTGCGGGTGTAGGAGGAATGTTTCTGGGGTGAGTTCATGCTGCAGAATGAATCCGAAGGGAGTTTATTCACGAGGACCGTGAGAGCCAGGCGCCGCGCCCCCCCCCCACCCCAGTCTTGCTGGTGTCTCAGTGGCCAGCCCTGGTCGCTCCAGGGCCCAGGCTGCGCCTCCTGCGTGTCGGGAGGGGCCCGCACGCACACAGACGCGCACACGATGCCCGGCGCGTCCTCACAGCTCCACTCGCCGCGCCGTGAAGCCGGAGCCACCTGGACGGGGAGTCGGGGAGAGCAAGCGCTGCCCACCCCGTGTGTCCTCCGCCCCGCTGCCCAGGGCTGTCGCAGCCCGCTCCCGCTGCCCCCCGGGGACAAGGACCCAGAGGCCTCCGCTCCGCCATGAGAAGAACTGGGTGCTCACCAGCCAGCCGGCCCCCCAGACACCCCACACGGCCACGCCACTGCCGGGAGCGGACATCCTGACGCCCAGCCCGCGGGCAGTGACCACGCACACGAGGCAGCTCTCAGGGTCTTTAAATGTAGGTGCTGGCCGGCCCCGAGCCCTGGGGGCAGCAGTACAGCAGGAAGAGCAGGAGGGACACCAGGGCACAGAGGCGCACCCCTGTGGCGCTCAGGGGCCCGTGGCCCTCTGCGCCCGCGTCCTCCGCGTCCTCCTCGTCCTCCATTTCCTCCTCCTCAGGGGCCGGCTCCCCGGCGGCGTCATACCCCTCCTCCTGCCCCAGGCCCTGGGGGTCCTCTGGCCTCCCCTCCTTCTCCCGCACGGGGAAGGCGCTGATGTCCTCATAAACGCCTTCCGAGGGCGGACTCCCCAACATTCCAGAACCTGCAGAGGAGACACCGTGGCAGCCTGTGCCCCCATGGCCCACCCCCTCAGCTCCTCGGCGGCAGCTCTCCCAGAGGCCACCCAGAAACCTCCCCAGATGAGCCCAGAGCCCCGTCCACATACGCAGGCACCCGAGGCTGGCCAAGCCAGGCTCAGAGCCGTGCCCAGGGCCCGTCCCTATGGCTCGTGGGCCCAGACCACAAGAAGTCCCACGGGACGCCACTGGCCACACAAGGCAGCCACCAGGATGGCCACGGGCCAAGGCCCCCCAGCCCCCAGCCCAGGGCCCTGTGTTAACCTCGCCGGCTGCACCACCGGCCCCTGCAGACTCCTCGGCCGCAGCACCAGCGCGCCCCCAGGGCCAGAGAGACAAGCCCCAGCAGGGTACCCAGAACGAAGCAGAAGGCCATAGGTAGGCTCCCAGCCTCCGCGGCAGGTCGGGGGCCAGGGGAGGGCCTGGAGGGACAGTGAGAGGCGGGTCCTCCTGCTGCCTGTGCTGCGGTGGGGGGGGGTGACCCGGGGGATTGTGACCTGGCGCCCTGGGGGAGGGGCCGCAGAGCGGAGGGCCCAGGAGGAGCGGCGGGGAAAGCCCCGGGGTTCCAACCGCCAGCGGCCTCCGCGGAGCTGGACACAGGGCAGCGCCCGGGGCGCGTCCCCCTCCCCGTCCCCCGCGAGGCCGCGTACGCCCCAGCCGGCGGGGAGGGGGCAGCGCGGGGCTGCGGCGGGCTCCGCTCCCGGCCGCCCGGGGCACAGCAGGAGCCTCGGCGCCGGCCCTGGGGGGCGGCAGGCCACGGGCCGGCCCCGGCGGGGGCCACACCCCCCTGAGGCCAGCGGCGGGCGGGCGGGTCCCACAGCGGCCGCAGGAGCAAGGGCGGCTGCGGACAAGCCCCGGGAGCGCGCAGGTGGGGGTGCTTCGGGGAGCCTCGGGCACCCCGCCCCCGCCCGCCCCCGCCCGCGCCCCGCACGGGAGCAGCGCCCGCCCGCGTCCTCCTTGTGCCCGCAGTCCCCGTGGCCCCAGGGCGCCGCGGGGCAGCCCCACGGGGCGGGCTTGCTGCCCCTGCACCCCACCTCGTCCAGCCACACGGGCCCTGAGCCCGGCCCGAAGGCGGCCCCCCCGGGGCGCCCACGGCCGGGCCCGCAGCCCAGCTGGCGGCACACGGACCTCGGCGTCCGCCAGGTCCCCGGCGTCGTCGCACACGGTGGCCCGGAGCCGGCGCCAGAGCTCCACGCGCCGGAGCAGCCGCCTCGCCTGCAGCGGGCCGGTGGGCGGGGTGGGGGGCGCAGCGGGGCGGGCAAGGCCAGGTCAGCGCGGGGTGACGGGTCAGCGCGGGCGGGCGCGCAGAGCTGTACCTGGGCAGCTGCCGTGGAGGCGCAGTCTGGGGCCGCCCCGGGATCCCGAGGTCCTTCCTGTGATGATTCTGCGCGATTAAAAACAGCCATCCCTGTGCACGCGCCTGGAAAGGCTTCAGGACGAAGTTTGGGGAGCCCTGCACCCCGGCCCGAGCCACGTGTCCTGCAGGTGACTTCTCAGGACCGGCCTGACGCCACCTCCAGGCCCCCGAAACCGCCAGGGCCCCACCTGCACAGGGGATCCACGCCTCCTCCCCGGGGGCACAGGCGCGGGGGTGCCACGGGCCGAGGGGCCCCGCCACAGCGGGGAGCTGCGCAGCCCGCGGCACCGGACGCCGTCCACCCAGGCGGGGCCGCGGCGCGGCGGGCACGGGCCTGCTCTCCAGCCAGCCCTGCCCCCCGCAGCCCAGCTGCCGCAGATGCCGGCCAGGGAGGCGTCTGCAGGGCGTGGCTGCACACGGCGCCCCAGGCCCGCGGTAGAGCCCGTCCAGCCAGCGCGCGGGGGCCGCCCCGCAGCCTCAGGGCCACCGACCCTGCCAGGCCGCACGCCGGGTCAGCGCGCGAGGCCCGCGGTCACGCACCCCGACCGTCGCCCACCCCCGGGTGCTGGCGGCGCAGGCTCAGGGGCCGGCTGGGGCCGCGCTGTCACGTCTGGGCAGCGGCGCGTGGCGCGGAGACGCCGCCCTGGAAACCGCTGGGAAGGCAGGAAACCGTCTGGTCGAGACCCGCGGAGCAGACGCGTAAAAACACCGAATTCAAGCCCCGGGAAAGGACGGAGCTGCCGCTTCCGCAGGTCCAGGCCCCTCCGGTGGGCGCCCGGGGCCGGAGGCCCAGCCGGCCGCGGGAGCGGTCGCAGCGCGCGGGGAAAGCGGCCGCGGAATCGCTTCCGCAGAGGGGCCCGGGCCGGCGCCGCCCCTGAGTCTGCGCCGGCGAATGGGCGCGCCAGGGTGCGGAGCCTGCCCAGGCCGGGCCCGCGGCGGGGCGCAGCGGGGAGCAGAGACGGGCGCCCCGCGGAAGGCCCGGCCCGCAGAGGCGGCGGAAGAGCCGGACAGGCGCCTCGGTGCCGCCGCGACACACGCGGTGAGGCGCCGTCGAGGACAGACGGACGGGAACGTCCCCGAGCCCAACACAGGGCCACGTCCGCGGAGGGGCGGCCGCTCCCCGGCACAGCGGGCTCCTGGGCGGCCCCGCGCCCCCCGCCCCCCACCCTGGATGACAACCCCGTCTCCCCGGGGGGCTCACGCCCAGATCCCTGCGAGCAAAAGCATTTCAAGCATCACCTTGAAAACAGGCGGACAGTCCCCCAGCGGGACGTTGGGGGGATTCAGACTCAGACAGGAAAAGCACGGGCGCCCCGGGGGATGAGCAGGCGCCGCCCGCACCCCGCCCAGGGCAGCGCGGGACCCAGGCCTGGGAGGCGCCCGCTGGGGTAGCAGCCCGCACCCCCTGCGGAGAGGCCCCTCCCGAGAGCAAGAGGGGGTGTTTCCGGCACGAAGACAGCACCCCGGCTGCCGCCCAGCCGCCCCCAAGGAACGCGGGGAACAGGACCCACCTGAGCAGAAGACGCCCGCGTCCTCCTTGTGCCCGCAGTCGGGCCGGCCCCAGCCCCCCGACGGGCACCGCCACAGCGCGCCTCCTCCCCGCACAGCCCAGCTCGCCCAGCCACACGGCCCGGACCCTGCCCCGGAGTGCGCGGCCCCGGCGCCCCGAGCGCGGCCACAGCCCGGCTGCCCGCAGACCACGTGGGCGTCGCGCAGGCCCCAGGCGTCGTCACACACGGTGCCCCACGCGCCCCGCGCAGCGGTCGGGGCCGCGGACAGGCGCAGCCGGAGGCTCCCTGTGGACAGACGGAGTCAGGGCCCGCCCCGCGGGCGGGCCGGGCCGCACTCACCCGCGCACACGACGCCCACGTCCCGCAAGGCCCCGGGCGCCCGCGGCACCGCGCCCGCGGCCACGTTGCACTGCGTCAGGCGGGACTCCGTGCCCAGACAGCGCGCGGCGCGCAGCCCCACCGGGGCGGCCCCACGCGGCGGCGCAGGCGCGTCTAGGCCCGCTCGGCGCCCCGCACCTCAGCTGCCTGCACACCACGGCGGCGCCACGCAGGTCCCACGCAGCATCCAGGACGCGGCCCCACGAGCCGTCCAGGGAGACCTCCACGCGGCCATCACAGGGGCTCTGCCCGTCTCTCAGCCGCAGGGCCTGGGGGAGGCCTGGCGGGGAGGTGGGAGGGCCGGGTCTTTCTCCCCAAATCCGAGGGGGCCCACGCCCCCTGCCCTCCCAGGCCCTCTCTGTGTGCCCTCCCCGACCTACCTGAGCAGACGGCAGTGGCAGCGTGTCCCGGGGCGCAGGAGGGCACCCTGAGGGTGCTTACAGGACAATTCCACAGATAGGGCTCAGTCCCAGCGCAGTGGAACTGGTCGGGCCAGATGAGCCCAGCCCCGCCCCCCAAATGGCCTCCCTGGAGCATGGCCTCAGCACTGCCGCAGTTGAGGTGGTAGCAGAGGATGCTGGCATCTGCGAGGTCCCAGCGGGTGGCACAGAGGGGTGCCCAGACGCCCCGGACCAGGAGCTCCACACGGCCCTGGCAGCTGCTGCTGCCGTTGACCAGCCGGAACTCGGGGGCAGGGGTGTCAGAGCCCCACAACCCCACACCAACCCCGGAGTGTCGTCCTTCTGGGCCCAGGGCTGTGGCCACAGAGTGGCAGGACCTTGCTCCTGGGTCCCTGCCACACCCAGCTCGCACTTCATGGCAGCCTTCCTCAGATGCCCCTGCCTGGCCAGAGGCACCCCGTGAGCGGCTGCATACCCTCACCTTAAAGGGCAGCAGGCAGGGACGGGGCAGGGCTACCTCAGCTTGCCTGTGGCCTCACCTGAGCATCGGAGCCCGGCGTCCTGGCTGTGTCCACACTGGTGTCCTGGCCGCCGTGGGCAGTGGAACAGCAGGGACTCATTGCCCGCACAGCGGAAGGCCTCTGTCCACACCACCCCAGAACCCCGGCGGAAGTGGGCCGCCCCGGGCATGGACACGGCAGAGCCACACCGCAGCTCCCGGCACACCACGGAGGCCGTGGCCACATCCAGGTCGGCGTCGCAGACGGTGCCCCAGGTCAGGCCGTGCCTCACCTCCAGGCGCCCGGCACAGGGGGCTCGCCGCCTGCCAGCCGGGCCTCAGCGTGCCCTGGGGAGCAGAGCGCTTCAGGAAGGACCCTGTTCCCAGGTGGACGCTGGGCCAGAGGCTCCGGCCAGCAGAGACCGCCTGCGGCAGGCAGCTGGTCCGCCCCGCACTGGGGAAGTGCTGGCGGCCGAGACCCATCTGCCCTGCGCCTGGCTGCTTCCCCAAGGTCAGAGGTCAGGGCACCTGCTGCAGGTGTCCACGTGCGAACACAGCCTTCACCTGCCCAAAGCCCTCTGCGGTCCCGGAGGGCAAGGCCACCGACACACGCGAGATGGACTGTCCCCTGCAGCCGTCGGGCCCCAGCACCAAGCACAGGGAGTGTGGACGAGTCACACCGACTCTTCCAGGCCCAGGGGGAGGGGCAGCCCGGCTCTGGGGCCCTGGACCCACCCACAAAGGCCCGCACCCGGCAGCCCCACCCCCGAGTCTGTCCATATCCCCTCCCTGCTCTCCCCGCCCCGGACAGCACGGTCGAGGGGAGGCCTTTCCCGCTGGGGTCAGTCCAAGGCTCAGCCCCTGCGCCCCGTCTGTGGGCGCCCCTGGCCCCGTCCCCCAGGCTGGCACCCGCCCCACCCTCTGCCCCTCCTTCCTCCCCCATCTGTGGGCCTCCACCCCTCCCCTCCCCGCCCCGCCCGCCGCGGGCACCCCCAGCCCCCGCGCCCGCACTGCGGTTGGTGCGCTCGGAGCCGCGGCCGCTCACGCACCTGCCGGCCGCGCCCGCTCCGCGCGGCGCCTGGAGCGCGGCCCACAGCGCAGCCCCGCAGAGCGCGGCGGCCTCGCCGGCCCGGTGCAGCGCGCAGAGGCGGCCCACGCCGTTGGGGCTGCAGATCTCGGGGGGCCCCGCGCAGGGGCTGCGCCCTTCACCAGCCGGAGCTCCCGGAAGGTGCCGAAGCTCTGGGAAGCACCGGCCGCGGGGGCCGGCGGAGGTCACGGCGGCGCGAGGGCCTCCACGTCCGGCGCCCGAGAGCGGGTGCGCAGGGGCCGCGGGCCGACGGGGCGGCTCTGCGCGGTGGGGGGGGTCCCGGGGGCCTGGCCGCTGCGCCGCCCCCCGGTGGGTGGGTACCCCTGTGCCCTCGGGCGCCCGCGAGGGAGCGCGCCAGCCCGGCACCTGCGCCCGAGGCCCGGACCCCGGCGCGCCGGGTCACTGGCGCCTGCGGCCGCCGGAGCGGGGTCCCCGCGGCGCGTCTTGGTCCAGCTACGGCGCCGTCCGGGCGGCGCCGCCGGGAGGAGGCGGTCTGCAGGCAGCTGGGCTGCGGCCGGCGCCCCCAGGGACGTCCCGCTGCCGGGGGAGATGGGGCCGCCCTGGCTGCACAACGTGACCTGCAGGGGCCACGAGGCCGCCCTCCGCGACTGCAGCCTCGGGGCCTGGACGCGGGGCCGCTGCCCCCACGAGTGGCCGAGGTCGCGCTGTGCGCCCGTGAGTCCGCGCGGGCTGGCGGGGCGGGGCCGGGGCGGGGCGGGGGCGGCCCCCCAAACCCCGAGGGCTGCGGTCCCGCGGGTTCTGGGCTCCGCCCGGTCGGCCCACGGCCCCTGGGCACCCAGATGTGGAGGCCCTCGCGCCGCGGTGACCTCCGCCGGCCGGCTTCCCAGGGGAACCTACCTGCGGGGAGTGCCCTGAGAGCAAGGAGAAGGGGCGCAAGTTGCAAGACCCAGAGAGCTGCCCTCACGGCCCCCAGCCCTGGCCGCCGCCTGCTGATCTGAGGCCAGGGAGAGGAGGTCCAGAGCCGGACAGCAGAGGCAGCACTGCCCAGGGCCGGGGGGAGGGTGAGTCCTCTCCCGAAGTCGTCCATGGCTCCGCCGTCATCTGGGAGCAGAGCAGCCCTGGTGTGGTCGCTGAGCAGCGGGGCTGCAGGTGGGGTGGAGTGGGGCCCGGGGTTTCCCCCAGATAACCGCTGACGGGCGGGCTCAGCCCACAGCAGGCGGGGCCCTGTCTCCACCGCAGCACAGCAGCACCTGCTGAGGTGAGGTGTCAGCAGTAAACCTGGCTGTGGTGAGTCACAGCACTGTCTTGCCTAGTTTGCGTATAAATCTAAACTGTTGTAAAAATAACTGGAAACGCTGCGTACATCTAGGCCCAGATGGTTTCACCAGAGAATTTTAAAGATTGAGGCAATTTTACATAACTTCTCCCAAAAAATAAAAGATGGGACACTTTCCAAATCATTTTATAAGGCCAGGATGACCCCGATACGAAACCAAACAGAAACAGCACCAAACAAGTAAACTACAGAGCAGGAGCTCTAATGAGTTTGGATGCAAAATCCTCACAAAACTTTATCAAATATCTAATATAAAAAAGAATAACATACCACAACTAAGTAGAATTATTCCAGGCATGCAAGACTGGTTCAATGTCTGAAAATTAATCATTTTAATCCACCACATCAAAAGCTAAAGAGGTCACATGATCATGTGATACAGAAAAAGCATTTGACAAAATTCATCTCCATGTAGGCTTAAGGCAATTCCCATCAAAATTGTAGCATGGGCCCTCCCCGGTGGCGCAGCGGTTGAGCGCTGGGTTGCGAAGCTGCCCTCAGCCTCCTCAGTGCTGGTTCGATCCCTGGCTGCTCCCCCGGCCACCGAAGGAGGGTCCCACATGGAGCGCAGACCTCTCCTGCCGCCCGCTGCTCCCCTCAGCAGTGTCCTTCGGTCCTTCTGCCTGCTGTGTTCCCCGCTCTGGCTCTGGTGAATTCTCTCACCCTCCCGCGCTTCTGACTGTACCCAGTGCTTGTATAAATAAATAAATAAATCTTTAAAAAAAAAAAAAAAAAAGCTACACCCATTTAAAAAAAAAAATTGTAGCATGGTTTCTTACAGACACAGGCAAGACTATTCTAAATTTCTATGAAAAAGAGAAGATCCCAGAATCGTCTGACTTTTGGAGGAATCAGTGTTACCAGTGCTGAGATTCACTATATAGTCACAGTGATCCAGGGGCAGATAAATGGAACAGATACAAATTCACATAGACTACATGAATTTTTGACAAAAGGATAAAACCAATTAAATGAGAAAGTGATAGCCTCTTCAGTGTATGGTGCTAGAATAATTGGATAGCCACCCGGGCAAGAGAGAAGGAAACTGACCTAATAATCCTCCTAACTTACACAAAAATTAACTCAAAAAGGATCATGGGGTCTCCCTGGTGGCGCAAGGGGTTAAGACACAACCTATGAAGCAATCCCAAGCCTCTGCAACACGAGTTCGATCTCCAGACAGCCAGGGAGCTACCCACATGGAGCAGCAGACCTCTCCTGCCTCGCCCGCTGCTCCCCTCAGCAGTGGGCTTCGTCAGTCTGCCTGTTCTGTTCCCCGCTCTGTCTCTGGTGAATCCTCTCACCCTCGCACATCTGGCCTGTACCCTGGTTCTTATATAAAAATAAATAAATCTTGGGCCTCCCCTGGTGGCGCAGGTGGTTGAGCGCCGCGCTGTGAAGCTGTCTGCAGCCTCTGAAGCGCCGGTTCGATTCCGGCTGGCCAGCGAGAATCCCACATGGTGCGGCAGACCTCTCCTTCGCGCCCACTGCTCCCCTCAGCAGTGGATTTCAGTCAGTCTGCCTGTTCTGTTCCCCGCTCTGTCTCTGGTGAATCCTCTCACCCTCTTGCGCATCTGGCCTGTACCTGGGTTCTTGTGTAAAATGAATAAATAAATCTTTAAAAAATAAATCTTTAAAAAAATAAAACAAAAAAAGCACACTGAGATACTGCCTTAGACCAGTGAGAATGGCAGCCCGCCATTCCCGCCCGCGCTCACCCTGCACCGTGGTGGAAACCCTTCTCCTTGATGTGGGTGAGGAGCTGGGCGAGGGCCCCCCGTGGACACCAATGGCCTGACCTGCCCCTTGCCTGCCCCTGTGTCTGGTTGCTGTTGGTCTCCAGGAGTCAGACTCTGGGTTGCTTGTTTGGGGCTTTTAATGAAGGTCTGTTGTTCCCCATCCCTGTTAGTTTTCTCCCCGTATAAGTTTCTCCCCATGGTGGCCGCCGCCACCGCCCCCCAGCCCCACCTCCCGCTGGAGGCCTGGGCCTGCGGCCAGCTTCCCAGGGCACCCCTAGGACATCTTGCTTTGTTTGCCCTTTACATTTGCTGGGTACAAGTTCTTGGCCGCTTTCTCCAGCGCTGGAGTCTGATAAGCAGAGCTTTTGATTGCATGGCGTCCGATTTATTATTTTCCTTTTTGTCTTCTTTTTAAGAAAACTCTGCCCTCCGAGGCTGAGAGGATACTTTCCCACCCTCTCCTCCGGATGCCTCCTGGGTCAGCCCCTCTACCCCTGTCCAGGAGCCGCTCAGACCCATCCTTGCGCACGGGGGAGGGGTGTGGAGCTGAAGCTCGCTCCCCGCTGCGCGCGCTTTTGTGTCCGTCTGTGTGGAGGGAGCCGTGGCGCGAGGCCCGCTCACCCGGCCGGGGGGCCGCGCCGCACTGGCGGAGTTGGATGTGGCTGCGTCTTCTTGGCCTCTTCTCACTTTAGATCACTCGTCAAGCTCGTGTCTTGCGAGAGCAAACGCTCTTCCTCGCGTTTTCACCCAGCCTGCCCCCCCGCCGGCCCCGGGCCCGCCGCAGAAACCAGGTCAGCGTCGGCCCAAGTGTGAGAGCGACACGGGCAGAAAATGCTTGAAAGCCGGGCACTAGCAGAGGGTTTACATTCCAGAGACGCAAGGAGCTCCACACCCCAGAGCAAGAAAACAAACAGCCCAATAAAGCAACCACCTCCCAAGGTCGCCAAGAAAGCGCCGCGGAGGCGGGACCTGGGCCCCACGGGACGCAGGCCAGGCGGGCAGGAGGAGGGCGCGAGGGTCGGGGCGCTGGGGCCCACGGCCAGCGTCCTTTCCTTCTGTGCCTCGGTCATTTTTCTCCTCAGGATTGACTGGGGAGAAGTTTAAGAGCGGGGAGAGCGAGAGCCGCACGGACTCTCCCAGGCGCCTGTTCCTGGAGCGGCCGGGGCCCGCCAGGGGAGGGCCGAGGGGTGCTGAGGGGCGCCAGGCGAGGGGCCGCGGGGACCCCTGGGGCGCTGGTGGGCTGGGCAGCGCTGACTTCTGGAAAGTGGAAGAGGCAGACGCCTCGGGGGCAGAAACCAGGTCAGGGGCTGCTGGGGCCGGGGCGGGAGGGAGGAAACGCGCGTCCCCTCCTGTGGCTTCCAGGGGCGCTGCGGGCACGGCCTCCTCCCTGCCGGCTTCAAAGGGAGCGCGTCCCACAGAGAAAACCAGGCCGGCGTGGGGGCGCCCGCCGGTGGCCGGGGCCGGCGGGCCAGGCCCGCTGGACGGCGTGAGGTCGGGGCGCTGCCAGAGGCTCCAGGCTGCTCTGCTCAGGGCCCAGCGGGCAGGGGCGGGGGGCCGAGTGGGGCCACAGCATCCACAGGCCCGGTGCCCTCTCGGGGACCCCGGCAATCACCGCCTGAGTGGGTGAGAGCCAGCATCCTCGGGGTGCCCCCAGCCTCGCGAAGTGAGGGCGTCAGCTGCAGCCACAGACAGCAGCTCCCAAGCTGGCCCCTCCTCCCGCTTCCCACCCTCCCCCTCCTGCCCCCCTCCCCTCCCCCATCTTCCCCCACCCTCCCCCCTCCCACATCCTCCCCCACACCCTCCCCCTCCCCCACACCCTCCCCCCTCCCGGGCCAGCATCCTGGGGGGGGTCCAGGTCTGGAAGCGCGTCCCTGCACTCACGCAGCCAGCCGGGTGTCCCCGTCCCGACCCACCTGTCCCGCCTTGTCTAAATTGTGACCAAAAACCTGCTCTTCAGCCCCCAGCACCTCCGCAGCCCCTCATCCCGGGCCCTCGCCGGGCGGCTATGCCTGTGCCCAGAGCCCAAGACGCAGGGAGGCCCAGCGAGCCCCACTGGATCATCAACCGTGACTTTGGGACAAAAGACACAGCCCCAGGCTGCCCCCACCCGGCCCTGGCGCCAGCGGGGCACGACGGGACCAGGACCCCGCGGGCCAGGCGGCCCCTGACCAGGCTGGGAAGCTCCCCACGCTTGGCAGCGGCTGCGGGCGGTGCGGACAGCCTGGGCCTCCAGCACATTCACCCGGGGCCTCTGCCCGCCTGCGGGCCTCACTGGGGCCCAGCCGGGGGCAGGAGGGGGCGGGGGCGGCCTTCCTCCCACTCGGCCACTCTGGCTGAGGCAGGGGTCTCGGGGGAGGCGGCCCTGGGCGGAGGGGCCCCGGGGGAGCACAGTGCCGCGGGCGGGGCTGGGCAGGAGCCTCCTGGTCGCAGCCCAGCCCGGCTCCTCTGCCTCTCCCTGAGCGCCCTCCAGGAGAGCAGGGCTGGCGCTCGCCGCGCCACCCCGCAGAAGCCCTCTCAGCCCGGTGGAGGGGGCTCCGGCTGCAGCATCAGCTGCTCTCCCCACACGAGAGAGCAAACAGCACCCCATAGTCTAAGACCGGGGACCCCTTGTGCTTTTCCCCAAAACCTGACCCCTGCTCCTGTGGGCGGCCCACAGCAGAGGAAGGAGGGGGCTGCCCCCTGCGGGCACCAGTGCGATCCTGCTGGGGTGGACCGGTGGTCACGGGGAGCACGGCCTCGGGGCAGATCCTCAGGACCCGGCGCCTCAGGACCCGGCGCCTGAAGCTGCACCCAGCTGGGAGCAGGACCCGAGTGGGAGCCCCCAGCCAAGCCCGGCAGAACCAGTGGAGTCTCCGGCGAGCCCCTCTGAGCTGGAGGACCAGGCGAGGAGCCTCTTCTGCCAGGTCCCTGGCCTGGAGAGACCCGCCAGAGGCCCCCGTGCAGGTGAGCGGTGCAGAGTGCGGGGCGCAGGTGGCCATTCCTGGGGGTCTGTGAGTGTGTGGCTGCATGTGCGCATCTGGGGGTGTGGGCACCCGGGTGCTGCATGTGTTCCTGTGTGTGCACCTTGTGTCTGTGGGCACTTGTTGGGGGGCACCCATGGGGGGGCACCTGTGTGCGTTATGTGCACCTGTGTGTGGGGGTACCTGTGTGCATGTGGGCACCCGGGGGGGCACCCAGGGGTGTGGGCACCAGGGGCACCCCTCTGGCAGGCCCCAACACAGGACGACCAGCCCCGCCTGTTCTGAACTGTTCTGAGCAGGTATGTCCTGAGCCGGCATGTGAGGAGGCCCGGTGTCAGGTGTGGGGTCCGCTCCTGCCTGCCCACCTGTGCATGGGGAGCGTGTGGCGGGGCGGGGGGCTGAGGCGCGGGTGCGGTGTCTGCCGTGAGTTTGCACCGGGCCTCAGGCTGGGGTGGGGGCGCTGCCCCAGGGCCGGAGTATCGGGACGGGCTGGGGCGCGTGTCAGCCGCGTGTCCCCGCTGGGCTGGGGACCCTCCCGTTTGCTTCCATGTGTCTGCATGGGAAGAATTTGGGGTTCCTCCCACGAGAGGACGCCCCCCCACCTCTCAGGGAAGGGTGGGCCGGGGCGCCCAGCCGCGGTGCGGGTCTGAGCAGCCCATCCCTGTGTCACCAGGAGACAGTGGGGCAGAGGGCGGCGGCTGGAGACACCTGACTCCGAGCCTTACAGGGGCGCACCCCACATCCAACCAGCTTCCTCCTGCTGCCCAGTGGTGTCGCCAGAGCCCCGATGCACCACCGGTGCCAGAGTGGGTGAAATGGGTGAGGGGCTGCTGCGGGCCCCTCAGCCCCCTCCCCCCTGTGAAGCAGGGACAACCCAGCAAGGGTCCTGCGTGACCCCGCGGCCCATAGGGATCTAAGGGAGGGCAGCTGGAAACCACCCCCCCCACCCCCCCACCCCCGTCCCAGGACCACACCCTGGAGCCAGCACGGCCGCCCTTGGAAGTCTTTGTGGGGTAGAAACACGCCTGCGGCTGGCACTGGGCAGGCAGAGGGCCAGGGCTGCTGAGGTGGGGCTGGGCTCGGGCCTGTTGTGGAAATGAATTCTCGCCTTTACCCGGGCAGAGGAAGAACAAGCGGTGCTTCAGGAATGGGGCGCCAGAGGGCCTGGAACCACACGAACTCAGTAGATGGGACCAGGCCACTCCCCTGGGCCAGCTGCTGGCCAGGGACGAGGGCGCCCCACCCTCTAGGCCAGCCCAGCCCAGGCCCCAGGACGCCCTCAGCCTGGCCTCCCCCACCGGCCCTCGCGCCTGCCTGCAGCTTCGCGGCCACCTTTGCGCTGTTCTCGGGGTGCCCTGCACGCTTCCCCTCCATGTATACAGCATCACTGGTCTGTGGTGACTGGAAGCCCCAGGACGCAGCCCGGTCTGTCCAGCTCCCACCCAGTGCCCAGTGGAAACGTATGCGGACCCTGGGCGGGGTGGGCAGTCCCAGCGGCAGCGACGGGGCAAGCTCTGCGCAAGCACAGAGGGCAGGGCACCGTGGCCTCTGACCCCCACCCTGCACCCTGTCCCCCCAGCCGCCGAGGCGCCTCCCACCCCACCCCTCCCTTCCCCCCGCCTGGCCCAGACCCTTGCTAACCGGGCCTCTGCCCCCAGGCCGCGCGCACACCATGCGCTTGGGGGACAACGGCTCGGAGGTGACCGAGTTCATCCTGCTGGGCTTCTCTGGCTCGCAGGGCCTGCACCTGGGCCTGCTGGCGCTGTTCCTGCTGGTCTACGTGCTGACCGTCACGGAGAACCTGGTCATCGTCACGGTGATCCGCGCCAGCGCGCTGCGGCACAAGCCCATGTACCTGTTCCTCAGCCACCTGTCCTTCCTGGAGGCCTGGTACATCTCCGTCACGGTGCCCAAGATGCTGCTCGGCCTGGCGGCGCGCGAGCTCCGCCACATCTCGTTCCGTGGCTGCATGGCGCAGCTCTACTTCTTCCTGGCGCTGGCCTGCACCGAGTGCGCGCTGCTGGGCGTCATGGCCTACGACCGCCACGTGGCCATCTGCAGCCCGCTGCGCTACCCGGCCATCCTGAGCCCCGGCTTCTGCCGCCTGCTGGCCGCCGGCTCCTGGCTCTCGGGCTTCTCCATCTCCCTGGGCAAGGTCTTCTTCATCGCGCGCCTGGGCTACTGCGGCCCCAACGTCGTGAACCACTTCTTCTGCGACGTGTCGCCCCTGCTTAACCTGGCGTGCTCCGACATGTCCGTGGCCGAGCTGGTGGACTTCCTGCTGGCGCTGCTCATCCTGCTGGGGCCGCTGCTGCTCACCATCTTCTCCTACGCGTCCATCATCCGCACCGTGCTGCGCATCCCGTCCGCCGCCGGCCGCCGGAAGGCCTTCTCCACCTGCGCCTCGCATCTGGCCGTAGCGGTCACCTTCTACTCGGCCTCCCTCTTCATCTACGCGCGGCCCCGCGCCATCTACTCCTTCGACTTCAACAAGCTGGTGTCCGTGGTGTACACGGTGCTCACGCCCCTGCTCAACCCGGTCATCTACTGCCTGCGGAACCAGGAGGTCAAGGAGGCCCTGCGCAGGACGGCCCAGCGCGCAGCCCAGGCCCTGGGCGGCCCCTCCTAGGCCCCAGCGCAGGCTCCACCCACTGCCCCCTGCCCTGTGCCCCATTCTCACCTCTGCCCCTGCCCCTCATGTTCCATCCCCACCTCTGCCCTGCCCTGTGCCCCATCCCCACTTCTGCCCCCACCCTGCCCTGTGCTCGGTCCCCACCTCTGCTCCTGCCCTGCCCTGTGCCAGCTGCTAGCCCAGGACCCCAGGGGCCACCTTGACCTGGCTCACCTCCTCCCAGTGCCCAGGCTGACACCCCATGCCTCCCCAGGTGCCACCAGTGGGCTTTCCAAAGGCCACCCGTAGGAGTGGAGGGGACGCCCACTCACCCCACACACCGCCTTGGAGGCTAAGCCGGGCACAAGCCTGGCCCTGCTCCCCACCGAGGCCTCCCTCTGGCCACCTGGGTCTGCCCTGGGGTCGGTCAGGACAACATCGCAGCGCGCGCTGCCGGGAGAAACGCCAGGGCTGCTCAGGCTGATTCATAGCTCAGGAAGGGGAGGTGCCGCCTGTGACCACGAGGAAGAGGATGCAAAACTCAGGGAAGCGGGAAGCTGCGGCCAGCCACCCCTCCCCCGGTGCCTGCTCCATAAGGAACGGGAGTGTGAACGAGGCGAGGGCCAGGGTGGGCCTGAGACCCTGCCCCTGCTGACCTGGGCACTGGGGTTGCTCCCACCAGGACATGCAGGCTCCTGGCTGGCCTCCCCAGCCAAACAAGGGGACCCTCTGAGCTGATGGACTCCACCAGCTGTGGGTCAGCCGTCTGCAGAAGACCCCGACCGCTACAGCCCCACAGGTCCACTATCACGACGGGTGACCAGGACGGAGCCCCCGCTCTCACTGCGGGCCCACCCTCAGGGCTACCCTGGAGGCAGGCAGTGCAGTGCGGCCAGCTGCGGCCCTGAGAGCGGGGCCCCGGGAGGCCTGGTGGGCACAGGGGAACCAGCAGGAGCAGACCCCTGCAGGGACGAGCCCCTCGGCCCCTTCACCCCGAGCCGTGGAGCTGACCTGAGGGCTCCTGCTGGCCTGGCCGATGGCCGTCTCTGCGTCGGGACCCAAAGGCAGCGCTCACGGTCTGGAGCTGTGCGTCTAAACCAGAAATTGCACGCGCCCCTCTTCCAGAACACATGCACTTTCGTGTCACACGTCTGCAGAGCGACCATTTAAAAATGGGGTGAAGCACCTGTTCTCTGGCGTGTCGTTACTGGGAGCCGGCGCGGCCGCTCAGCACCTGCCACACGCGAGGGGCCCAGAGTGCGGAGACACAGGCGGGGGCGGCCGGTGGGGCGCAGCCGTGGGGCCCGCAGGAGCGGGGAGCAGGGCCGTGGGCGGGTGGGACGGATGCCACTGGGACAGACACCGAGCAGCGTCGCCCACAGGTGCTGGGGGCATGGGGGGGCAGGGGCAGGGCCACCAGGCGACAGGCGGAGGGAATCCGGACAGGCCCCGAAGCTGGGTGGGCGACAGTGCGGGTGCCCCAGGCCCAGGACAGGGGAACCCCTGGCGTCTGGAGGTCGTGGGGAGGCCACGCCCGGGGAGAGGCCTCCAGAGGCTGCAGCGCGGTGTGAAGACAGTGGGCGCCGGCATTGGGCGGGGCGCCAGGCCAGAGGCCGCCCCGCCAGAGGCCGCCCCGCCTCGACCTGTTGAAATGGAGGCAGGTGGTGGGGTGCCGGGAGGGCCAGCCAGGGCGCAGCCGGGGCTTGGGCAGGAAGACCCGCCGGGCCAGACCCCAGAGGGAAAAGGGGGCCTGAAATCAGACGCGGCCCTGCCCAGGCTGGCGCAGAGACGCCCCAAGCCCCCTGCCGGGCTGCCCGAGGGTCCGCCCGGTCCAGGGCCGCGGGACACACACGCGGCCGCGCCCACGGCAGGCGGCGGAGCGCGCCTCAAAGCTCCAGCCAAGAAGCCCCCCCAGCCCACCGGGGCGACCTGCGCGGTGAAGACGCCCCCCCAGAGGGGACGGGGAGGAGGCCCGTGTACCCCCCTCCGAGCAGGCCGCGGGGGGGCGGGGGGGGGCGCCCTAAGACAGAGCCGCTGTCGCTGGCTGAGCAGCCGCGCTCCCCAGGGGCTGACGCCCGCCCCAAGATGCCCCCAGGTCCCCCCAGCCTTCTCCCCAGTTTCCCCCAGGTCTCCCCAGCCTTCCCCCCGACTTCCCTCCGGTCTCCCCAGCACCCCCCAGGCTCCTCATCTTCCTCCGGGACCCCCAGGCCGCCCTCAGGTCCCCCAGGTCCCCCATTCTCCCCAGGACCCCAGGCCTCCTCTGGCCCTCCTCCGCCCACCCCCTCGGAGATGCAGTTTCCGGCCAAGGGTGGGGCTGGGCCTCCACCACCAGGACGTGGCCTCCCGGGGCGCAGGGGAGTGGGCGCTCCCGGGGAGGGGAGGGTCGGGACGCAGGGAGAGACGCGGCGGGCGGGGGAGGGCGGGGGACGGCGGGGAGAGGGAGTGCCGCAGGGGTGACGGCGGGGCGCGGGGCGAGGGGGGGCGCGGGGCGGGGAGGCGGGGCCGGCGGCGGAGCCCAGCCGAGAGCTCCGCTCCGAGCCCGCGAGCCCGGGCGGCGCCGACCCGCCCCGCCCCCGGCGCCCCCGGACTGGGCGGCGAGGACGCAGCCGCGGGCCCCCAGCCCAACAGCCCGGCCCCCAGCGGGGCGCCGCGGAGCCCCCAGGAGCGCCGCGGGAGAGGCCCAGGGCGGAGCGCTGCGGACGGGCGCGCGGGGACCCCGGGACGGAGCCGGGCGGCGCCCCCGAACCGCAGGCGCGGAAACGGGGGTCTCCGAGGCACGAAGGCGCGAGCCGAGCGGGCGGGGGGCCGAGCGCCTTTCGCGGGGAGCGAGCCGGGAGGCCCTGCGGGCCCGAGGGCCCTGCCCTGGGCACGGGGGGGGGGGCGGCAGGGGCGCCCCAGCGTCGGGGAGCGCGGGACCAGCCGCCCGAAGGCGAAGGCGGCGCCGCTGCTCGCGGGGTCCCAGCAGCGCAGCCCCGCACCCCCCGCGCCGCGCGCCCCGCCGGGAGCCCGTGCGGCCTCGCGAACACGAGCCGAGCGGGCGCGCCACGACCGAGCCGCGGGCTGGGAGCCCGGACCCCGCGGGCGCCGCCCGCCCTGGGTGAGGCGCGGACCTGGGCCGGAGGCGCCTGCGTGCGGGAGGAGGGGCTCGAGGCCGCGGGCGGAGCTCGGTTCTGACCGTTTGCTTCGGCCCAGACAGGCCGAGCCCCGCGCGAGGCCCCCGGCGGCGGGGCCGAGGGCGCGCGAGCCGGTCTGCGCTGTGAAGCGGCGTCGGAGCAGGAGCGCGAGGCGGCGCGTGCGAATCCCGGCCCGAGGCGCGCCCAGACCCGCCGGCCGCCCGGCCCGGCCCGCGCCCGGACAGCGGCCGCGGCAGAGTCGGGGCGGAACGGGCCAATCAGGTGCGAGCTGTGAGCTGATTGGTGCTGAATAGCCCAATCAGCCACAGATCGAAAAATGGTCCAATCAGACTTGCGGGTGGGGCGCCCGGAAGGCGCATATAAGCCTGGGTGTGGGCCCTGCAGGGACGGGAGGGCGACGCTGGCCCGGGGCGGGGCCGGCGAGGCGGGAGGCCGGGTGGAGGGACGTGGCAGGGCCCCCCGTGGCTCTAGCTGGTCAGGGCAGTGCCCTCTGGGAGGACGGTCAGCTCGCGGCGCTCCCCTGCGCACAGCCGCGAGGCCTCGGGTCCCGGCGCGCCCTCCCGGGGGGAGCAAAGGGCCCGCCGCGGCCACACGTGGCGGCACCGCCCGGCGTGGTCACCGCTGGTCCTCGGAGGCGGCGTCGGACACCCAGGGCTCACGCTGCGAGCTGCTGGGCGACGCCAGGCCGGGGCCTCCGGGCTCTGCGGGGCGCGGGGGGCAGGGCCGGGCCGTCCCGCGAGGACCTTCGCTCCCCCGTCCCCGGGGGCGGCTGCTCCGGAGTCTGCCCTGCGTCCCTCCCGAGGCTCAGCGCCGGCCACGCGGGCTTCCGTCCTCGCAGGCGCCCCGCCCGAGTCGGACCCGGCTGCTCGTGGCCGGCGCCACGACTGACTTGTGGGGGCGCCGCAGGGAAGGCCGGCCCTGCCGCCGCCGCCCCGCCGCGGGGCTGCGTCCAGCAACAGAAACAAACTGCTTGAAAGACCCAGAGCCTCCGCCCCGCCCCCGGGGCGCGCCCGGGGCCGAGACCACCCCGCCCTTTCCGCGAGGCCCCCACGCAGGCGGAGCGGACCCCCCGCCCGGCCCGGCCCAGGCCGGCACGAAGCCCAGGGGCCGGCGGGCAGGCCAGCGCGGGGCGCCGCCGCGGAGGCAGAGCGGTCAGCGCGCCCAGGCCAGAGGGGCTCCCGCGCCGAGTGGGGGCGCTGCGGGCGGCCGGCCGAGGGGTCAAGCCGGGCCTGGGCACAGCGGGGCGTCTGCACGCGAGGCCCAGGCCCGGCCAGCGAGGGCGGGTGGAGGCGCCCAGGGAGGGAGACGCAAGGCTCCTCCGCGGCGGGGCCCGCGCGGCCGCGCTCCTGGGCGGGGCGGCGGAGTCGGCCCGAAGCACCCTGCGGCGTCCGGGGGAGGCCGCGCGAGCGAGGCCGGCAGGCGCCCCGGAACGCGCGGAGGCCGCAGGACGCCGCCGCCGCTCCGGGCCCGGGAAGCGAGCCGGGTCCCGCCCGCTGCCGGGAGGGCGGCCTCCCCAGGCGGGCGCCGCAGCCGGAGCCGAGGAGGGCGGCCCGGGCGGCCCGGGGGCAGCGGGTCTTCACCCCGTCTCGGCCCACGCGGCCGGCGGGCTCAGCGGCGGCCCGGGCGCCTCATCGTTCGCCGCACCCCGGGGAAGACACGCAAACGGCGCTACTGCCCCGCGGCTTCCATTCCCCCTCCAGGGCGGGGGCGGGCAGGGCTCCCCCGGGCAGGACGGAGCAGCCGCCCTCGGCCCCGGGCTGGGACAGGAGCGCGACGAGGGGCAGCAGCGGGCCAGGGACAGGCCACCGCGCGCCGCCGGGCCCGGGCTTCCTCTGCGGAGAGACCAGACAACGCGCTGCGCGCCCGCCCGCGCCGGCCGCCTCAGACAGCACCAGCGGGGCCCCCACCGGCCGCCCGCAGTCCGGCGGGCACCGGCCAGGGGTGGCGGCCACCGCTGTTTCTTTGGGGGCGGCGTGAGCCCCGGCGCTCGCAGCTGTGAGTCGTGGGGCGGCACCAGCAAGCAGCGCTGCGGAACGCCAGGCCGGGGCCGCAGACTCCTCTCAGGCAACGCCGGGGACACTGTCGGGCGGCGCCTCTTCTCCCTCTTCAGAGCCCGGCGCGGGGCCGCCTCCTGCTCCCTCGGCGGCTGGCGATTCAGTCCCCCCAGCTCCGCTGCGCACCCCAGACCCTGGCTTATATCCTCTTTCCGGGCGCCCCGCCCACAAGTCTGATTGGACCATTTTTCAATCCTGGGGCTGATTGGACCATTTACCCATCAGTTCATAGCACCTGATTGGTCCATTCAACAGTCCAGGAAGTACGCTTTACATAAAAGGGCTCTGAGGAGCAGCTGCCACCACGGACTTGCGTTGAGAGGCGGTTCCTAGTGACAACGTCTGATTGGACCATTTAGCACCAATCAGCTCAGAGCTCGCATATGATTGGTCCATTTGAGGATACCGGAAGCACACTGTTACATAAAAGGGCTCTGAGGCTCACCTGCCCCCAGTGACTGCGGCGGAGCCGCCGAGCCAGAGAACCGCGGCTCCTGCCCCTCCCCGAGGCGGCGGCTCCTCCCCGAGTGGGTCTGAAGAGAAGCGCGAAGCCTTTCGGAGGCGAGGGGGGCGGGGCGGGAAGCGAAGGGCCCGCCCCGCCGCGCTGGAGGGCCGCGGGGCGGCGCCGGAGCTGGTTGCCGCCGGGCCGGCCCGACCGCGGCGCGAGGACCGCCGGCTCCGGCGGGCGGAGGGGCCGTCGCGGGAGGAGACGGGCCTCCCCGCAGGTCAGGCCGGGCCCGAACCCGCCTCCCCAACAGCGCCGCCGGCCGGCACCTCCCGGCGCTTCGCGACGCGCAGCCAGGCCCGGGCGAGGCCGAGGCGGCGGGCGGGCCGGAGCGCGTCCTCCCGGCCGGGCTCCCCGGCGCGCGGGGCCGGGCCTCCTGCTGCTGCGCGAGGCGTCAAAACAAGGAAAACGCAGGCACCGGCGGGCGCAGCCGAGCCCTGCTGGCGGGGCCTGGCCGAGGCAGAGCCGCGACCGCCACCCCGGCGCCCCCCGGCCCCCGGCCCCCCAGGGCGCCCCGGACCCCCACCCCGGGGAGCCTCCTCCCGGCCCAGGACGCGCGCGCCCGCGCTCCGGCCGCGGGGGGACGGCGGGCGGCTGGGCGGGGGCTCTGCGGGGACCACCGGACCCTCCGCGCTGGGGGAGCGCAGGCAGCACCCCCACTTCGGAGACAAGTCGGGGGTGTCCCGGGAAGGGAAATGTGCCTCCCGAGCAGCCATGGCGCACGGAGGCGCGCCGCGAGCAGGAGTCCCCGGCCGCCCCTCCCCAGGCCGCGGAGGCCAGGGCGCGGCCCCGCGGACCCCGCGCCGCCGCCGGGGCGAGGCCGGCGGACCCGCCGCTCTTCGTCCAGAAGCTGAGCCGCCGCGGAGACGGAGGAAGCGGGGCCGCAGGAGGGAACCCCGTGGCCGGCGGAGACCCGCGAGCCCCGCCGCCGCGCCCTGCCGGGGAGCGCGGTCCCCGCGGGCGACGACCCGAAGCGCCCGGAACCCAGAGGACGAGGACGGCGACCCGCGGCGCCGGGAGGGGTCTGGGCGCCGCCCGCTGCGGTCCCGAGGTCTCCTGGCCCTGGGGCGCCCCAAGTCCATAACGAAAACCACCTCTGGGCACGAAGGGCCGCCCGGGCGCCCACTGCCGGCGTGTGCTTCCAAGAGTCGGCTAGAGATGTTTAAAATCTAAGTTTACACGCCAAAAAAAAGCATGTGAGCCTCTAAAACTCGGCTCCTGAGCCACGCGGGAGCGGCCCCCGCGGAGTGACGGCGCCCCGGGGGCGGGGAGACCCGGCTGCAGCAGCGGCCGAGCCGGGCGGGGCTTCCCTCCTCGCAGCGAGAGCCTTGACGGCGAGCTCGGCGCCAGGGCCTCGGCGGAGAACACCAGAGATGGGAACAGCGGGGGCCAGGCCCGACCTGGCCTCTCGGGTTTGGACTTGACTGACTCCTGCAGCTGAGCCTGCGGAGAATTGAGGGCCTCGTTAATTGGGAGCCCCGGCCTGGGTCTCCTGGGCTAAGGAGCCAGAAACGCACTTTCTAATAGCCCTGGGCCTGGAGGCGCCTCAGCCACCTTCTCTTAACGAGGCCCCCGAGGCCTCCCAGCCCTTGAACTTCTCTGATCAGAGTTGAGATGGGAGCTGGATTTGATTTGGTACCAAGAGGCTTCTGAGCTGTTCCCCAGCTGCCTGGAGAACACAAACTTTCTCACATGCAGCCTCAGAATAAAAGGCATTCCCCCGGGGCTCAGTGGGGCAGAGAGAAGCCGGCTGCGCTGGGATGGCAGGTGGGAGCTGAGCTGCCCCAGAGCCCACCTCCTGCAGGCAGAAACCACTGCACTGGAGGCAAAGGATATGGGGAGTCTGCCCCCCAGGCACTTCTCACTGCTTGATGACAGCATTGTCGTTGAGATCAAGCCCTAGTTCCTCAGCCCAGGTTTCAATCTTATCAACAAGGTGTTCCACTTATCAGCCTCTGGGGTCCTTTGTGATACATCAGTCAAGGGTCTGTCTTACCTCATGATGCACACCCTTCCCAGGGTGATCGAGCTTTCCGCTCTTGATTGATTTGAAAAGCACCTTGTAGGGTTCGGCTCCTATAACTGAATGGCCAGGCAGTTCTGACCTTGTACAGTAACACAGAATCGTAGGTAACAAAAATGGTGGCCGAGCAGGCCACTCAGGAATAGCAGGCCCACCGTGGGTGGTGGGTGGAGGCTGGCTGGCTGGGTGAACAGACGGATGGATGACAGAGAGATGACAGGTGATGGAGGGACGGTGGGTGGAGGAGTGTCTGGAATGGAGGGTGGCTGGAAGATAAACAGGTGGTGGTCGGGCTGATGGGCAGGAAACAGATAAGAACCTCTGGCCGCTGCCTCCAGGAACTCACAGTCTAGAATCGACAGTGACAGAGAAATGGTTTTTTTGCCAGAAAACAGTGAATGTTGTTCTCCATCCCGTAGGTGGCTTGAGCGGAGTAAGAAGTCACCCAGAGTAGCTTAAGGGATGAGGGCCTTAATCAGGGGCTCAGAGATCCCATCTGACCAAATGGTCTGGACAGAAACCGAGGCCAGACGCAGCTAGTCCACAGCCCAGTCAGCTTAGGGCCGCCCATTGCCACAGCAGGGGCAGGACAGATCACAAGCATGACGGGCCCTGAGGTTTCGTGGGCACTCAGGTGCCAGGGAATGGACACGGGGCTCCTGAAGCACCATGTGGGGGAGGCAGCCCAGGAAGTGAGGCAGTTCAGGTGAGCGATGGGGCCGCCGCGGGCCCGGCCAGGATCTCCCACTCTGCAGACCTGCAGCTCCACCTCCAGCCCCTCCTCAGGTTGCCCCAGCCAGTCTCGCTTCTCCTCCCATCTCCAAGGGCACCGCGGCCCCCTGTGGACACACCCGACACTGCAGCATCCCCAGTTCAGCTGAGCCCCATCGCCTTCCAGACCAAGGCCACGCTGGCATTTGGAGCTCAGGGTCCTTTGAATGTCACCTGCTCCTTCTGTTAGGGGGAAAAGGCTGTCCTAAAGCTGATTCCATGCAGGCTGTGTGGACTCCACCCCCACCCCAGGCCAAAGCCAAAGACACTGGGGACTCCAAATCCCGTCACCACCCAAGGGAAGGTGGCTGGGACCTGAGGGTGGGGTTCAGCAGCCAGGTGGATATAAAAGGCAGACACGTGGGCTTTGGGGGGGTCCCCCATTTGGGCTCCCCGCCAGCTCGCAGCGTCCGGCCAGCTCTGAGAGTGACTTTGGGTTTCCAGGTTGGCGGATCGGGTAGGACGCATGAAAGACTTTATTTCCCTATTTTCTCCCTGAGTTGTACATTTCCTCAATTCCCTTTCCCTTGTAAATAAACCATTTATTAACCTTTTGTGTGTGCCTGCAGCGGAGTATTAAGTCCCTTTTAAGCGTGTGGGTGAGGATCCATAGCCAGGCAACCCTTTTTATATCGGGGTTGCCCTATAACACTTCCTGCTGACCAAGAAGCTTCCAGTGAACTCAAGCTCTGCCTGGACACAGGTGGGTGGCCAGCCCCGGCGACCCCACCTCCCTGAGCAGGACGTCAGGACATCATCTCTGGCAAGAGGCCAAGGTGGCACCTGCCACCCCCCCCCCAAGGTATTGGTAGCCCCTTTCTGCTGGGAGCCATGCTACTCATGTTGTCTGACAAAGGCCCGGGCATGGGGCAGATTCCTGAAAAGTCAGGAATCTCGTTAGCTGACTCCTGCTAGATTCTCCTCATTTGTTTATGGCTAGTTTCTATCATTGTCAAAACACGCATTTAAAAGTAAAACTGCAAATGTTGTTTGATCAATTACTGAATAACCAATTTGATGGCAAATGGCACTGCGTGATACAAATATTACATTTTTTATAAAATTAGTAAATCTCTGCCAAAAGGCAGTAATTCAACATTTGGCCTTGCATTAACAAGTGAAAAAACTTCTGGGAACAAAAGGCTGTAAACATCCCTTGGCCAAGTCTTTAATATGGAGATGTGGGCTTTTGAGGCAAGGGCTAAATGGAGAAGGAAATTCTTTTGCTTTAAGGATAGCAGGTGGGTGGCCGACAGGAGTCACGAGCCACGCTCCAAGTGTAAGAAACTTCCTGAGAAGCCAGGAGGCGCCCTAGCCGGCTCCCGCTAAATCCTTCCTGTTTGTTTAGGGCTGACTCGCCTGGATGTGACCAAGGGTATGGTAGCTGTTAGAGTTTGCAGTCGAGCATAAGTCAACAACAGTTTTGTTACTGGTTAAGCTAATAACCACGGCAGCACAAATAATGCACTCGGAAATAGTCAATGTTAAACTACTGATATGTCACGTATTAACCATTCTGGGAACCAAAAGCTGTAACCATCTCCGGCCCTGCCTCCTCCGATGACATGTTTGCAGTTCCTTAAAACAACAATCAGCAATCTTACAGAAAAAGGCATTTTCCCTTGATCTTAAAGTTAGGTACGGAAACTAGGCTGACAAGATAAATATAGGAGTAATAGGTAAAAAAAAAAAAAAAAAAAAAAAAAAAAAACTCGTTAGATTAGAAAAATCCCTCCCTTAATTGAGAGCCCCGGGGCTAGGGAGAAGTCAACGCATCTTCCTTCCCCCAGGTAACTTCCTGCCCTTTGTTTCCTCTCGCTCTTAGTTAACCTTCACCAGGGTAAACATAAAAATACTTTCACAGAAGTTGTTCACTAGTAATAAAATGACTGTTTAAGGTAAATGACTATTCTAAGGACACTTGTTTAGCAACGGTGCCTTCTTTAAAACAAAGAACAATAAATGTCATGACCTCTGCAGGAGGGCAAACAGACCCTCGGCTGTTCTTGAAAAAAATAGGATTGTTATCTTCCTGCCTTCATGCATGTGCTTACGCGCTCTCAGGGTTTGCTTGAAATGTATAAATAAGGGCTGCTGAGCCCTTCGGCAGGAGGATGTCTGCACCCTGACCCAGTCTGCGTCTCCTCACTCCCCTCCCCTCATTTCCACAATTGCGCCGATGGACGACGTCCCATCCTCCAGGAACCGCTGACACCCAGGCTGCAGCAGCTGCCCCGTGGCACCTTTCCAATATTTGTCTCTTTAGTTCTCTGAATTGAAAGAACCAAGCCTGATAAAGGTAACATCCAAAAAAACACCCAAGTGCAGAAGACCGGGATTGACACTAAGTGCCGGTGGTGACTGCGCGTGGAGAAGCCCGTCCTCCCCACCAGGCGCTCACCCTCAGGGTGGGGCTCGCCGAGGCCCCCTCCTGTGCTTCAGGCACAGACACCACGACAGGAGCACCTGCCTGGCCTGCTTCCCGGGGACAGCGTGTGCGGGACAAGATGAGCAACCTGTGAAGTGCGGGACAGCTGGGGTTGGAGTCACCAGGAGCACAGGGTGGGGGACAGACCCGGCCCCTCTGCAGGCAGAGACCGGACTCCCCCAGCCTTTCGAGGCAACTGATTGGGAATGGGACGAAGAGCCAGGAGGGGTGAGAAGACGCTCATTCAGATGCCTCTCTGCAGAGCTGCCTGTAACGGAAAGGCCGCGGCCCACCACATGCCTATGGGCAGAGCAGTGCAGGGAGTCATGTGCAGGCACTTAACGGAGCAACAACAGCTAATTAAAAATGAGACTCAAGACAATTGCTTGTTGATGTGAAAAAAATAAGTTTATTTATTAAGTGGAAAATCCAGTTGCAAACTTTAGATTTCCTATTGAATCCGAAGGCAAGTTCGGGAGAATTAGGCAGCCTCAAGGACAGTGCAGGTGGGGACCTCGGGAGAATTAAGGAAGGCTTCAGAGATAAGGCAGCAAGAGGAATGTGGTAACGCTGGCCTTGGTTTCCTTTAGGGGATAAAGGACAGTGGAGTTGGGGAAACGGAGAGTGGGTTAATTAGGGCGGCAGACTCGTTTCTGCAAGGAGGAGCTGAGAAGGGTCAGCACGGAGACCGGTGGGCGCCAGCCTGTCTTTTTCTTCAATAGCTGATGTTTGACTTTCTCTTCCCTGAAATGCAGAGGTGCTCATTTGGGAGACTGGGTCATAAAGACAAAGCTATCAAACAAGGGGGAAGATGCAACAAATGGGGAAAGACAAACCTGTTACATAAGGAATGTGAAGATCCCCCGCTCAGCAGCAGATGAAGTGAGACAGCCCAGAACTGACCAATCACAAGGAGACGGGTGGAGCTGTAGACCAGTTAGGGAAAGAAGG